AACAACAACACTCTGGTAGCGTAGTGGTTAGGAATCGGGCTGTGAACCGCAAGGTTAGCAGTTCAAAACCAGCTATTCTGTGGGAGAAAGATGAGGCTTTCTGCTCCCATAAAGATTTACAGCCTCAAAAACCCTGTATAGGGTCGCTATGAATTAGAACCGACTCCACAGCACTTAACAACAACAACAAACTTTTATTTAATTTAATTTGCTACTTTTTTCTATAATATAATCTTGTGAACTATTCTTGATATAAAACATTAATCACGCTACATAATAATACAGGAACAAGCAGGCATTTTTCTGTCACAGAACAACAGATAAAACTGCAAAACTGTCTTCTCAATAGCCATTTAATCAATTTTTTTTTTTTACTACTTTCAAAAAACTAATGATTGTTGGTTAAAGAAAGTTTGCTATTAGATTCTGATGGAAATCAATCTTGACTATAAAACACTTACAGTCAGTCACAATTTCAAAGCAGTTTTCATCCACTTAATAGCATCAGTCTGATCCATACTGTTCCCTTATAAATGCTACTAGAATTTATAGCAACTTGGACTCAGAACCATAAAGTCCATGGTGCAAAGCCCACTAGTCACTCCTCAGGAGAAAGATGAGGCTTTTGCTCCTGTGAAGCTTGGAAGTTTTGTAAACCCTGCACAATGTCATTATAAGTTGAACTTGAAACAACTCATTTTTATAGTTTCCATCTAACCAAACCAAAGTAAAGTTACAAACAAGAATATATAAGTACATTGTATATTCTTACTAATCTATTTCTTACTTCATTGCCAAGTTTACTAAAAACATTTAGAGATATAAATGTATTAAATAAATTTTTTAAATACTCACGCATCATTTGAACAAGTCATAAATTCTCCCTTGATTTTGGGGTGCCATGAGCCAGTGTGAAGCATTGCTGTGTGACCCTTAAAAAAGCAAAGAAAATAACACTTTTAAAAATGATAGAAATACCTAAAGGGGTTCTAGAACTTGCCCAGTGAAAAGGTCTGCTTGCGGAGCCTTTGCAGAGTATAAAACCTAGGTGGAATCCTGAGTCCCATCCAGAACCTTATGAGGTGGGATATTCCCACTACACAGGACAAGTAGACCAGTCTGGAACTGCTAGAGCAACA